GAGGCCCAGCCACCCACTGGAATGCTTGGCATCGTCCATCCTCCACAGAGAGGTGATTTGTAGAAACCACTGACCACTGAGCACAGAACACAGAAAACCAGTTCCTCGACCCCCTCTGGTGTAAAGAAGTGGGAGGCTGGAGTGGAAAGATTAAAGCTCCAGAAGCTTCTTAACTCTGATCATTCCAACTGACAAGGCCAACCACACCTCAGCTGTATACTGAGTTGAGTCACTTCTTTCTCTGAGCCTCAGTTTCTTCATCTGCAAAATGGGGGAAATGTATATACCCACCTCCCCAGAGCTGTTGGGATGATAAGATCATGTAGTTGAAAGCTCTATGTAAACTGTAAAGTCCAGTGCGCTTTCTATTGTGCGCTGGGAAGAGGTATGTGTGGAGTCAGGCTGACCTGGGTTGGAGTTCAAGCTCTACCACTCACTGGCAGTGTGGTCTTGGGTAAACTGTCCTTTTCCTCAGCCGAGGTTCTTCATCTGTTAAGTAGCACCATTCGTTGTACCTACAATTCACAGGCTCATTTTGGAAATTAAATAAAGATTAAATGGGGACTTCCCTGGCGGTTCAGTGTTTAAGACGCCGGTTCCCAATGCAGGGGGCACGGGTCCTACCCCTGGTCGGGCTGCACAGAGTGGCCAAAAAAAAAAAAAGAAAAGAAAAGATTCAATGAGATAATATGTGTCTGGCATACAGTAGGTGCTCAGCAAATATCCTTCCCTGGAAACAGAGGCACATGCAGCCCTTAAAACAGTGGAGGTAACAAAGGGTTCTCAGTCCAGAGGAAAAAACAAGCAGGCAATGAATGAACTCTCTCTGGTTTCCCTTCTAAGAGAGTGACTCACTGGCCAGAGCCCAGGATGATCACAAATGCAGAGGACAGGCAGCCAAACGCTAGCATCCCACGTGGAGTTTCCAAAAAATGTAAGCACAGAGTTGCATAACCTGAGACATGTGTCTCCCTTAAGTGTTTTCCTGCAAACCTTCCCTGAAAAAGATCAAGGAGCGGAGGCTGTAGGGCAGCCTTGGGCGGGGAAGAAGGGAGAAGTGGCGGGGGGGGGGGGGGGCGGGCGGGGACGGGGGGGCCAAGCCCATGCCTGACCGCCGCCCCCGTGCAGGCCCTGGCGGGGACGGTTTGGAGAACTCAGGGGTGGGATGGGATTAGGAAGAGAAGGTACCACATTTACTGAGCTCCTATTATGTGCCAGGTAATAGGAGCTCACTCTGTCTGTCATCTACTTAGATCCTTGCCATAAATCTGAGAGAACAGCTATTACCACTCCCACATTCCAAGGGAAGAAATAATAACAGTAATTAACATTGCCAATGTTTACATAACGCTGACCACATATCCGGCAGTGAGACAATGCCTGACACACATCTGATTCTCAGGAAAGCCCAGGACATGGGTAATATTCTGACCCCCATTTCATAGAGGAGGAAACTGAGACTCAGAGAGTTAAAGCAACTTCCCTAAGGTCACCCAGTAAGACAGTAGTAGAGCCAGTGTTCAAAGACAAGAAGGGTTCAAAAGTCCCTAGACCTCTAAGAGGGCATTTCCCAAGGGATTTACGGGGGTGGATCTAGAAAGTGCCCCCAGCAGGAGTTGTCTTTATGTGCTCACAGTGGGAGCCCAATGTGAGAGTGACGTCAATGACCAAGTGACCAGAGGCAGTCTCTTCCTCTGCGCCCAGAGGACAGTTTGTCCCAGCTTGTGGCTTTTTGTCATTCTGCCTCTGACCCAAAGTTTAAAGTTTCATTCATAAGTTTGAAAACTACAAACTTGGCAGCGTGGGAAAGGCCCTTGGAGATCAGCTATTTTAGTCCAACCCACTCATATTACAGACAGGGGAAGAAAACCCTGAGGCCCAAAGAGAGCTGTGGATGGGGCAAGGTCACAGCACAATTTTCTGTTAGCAGGAGAGTTAGTTTGAGGTCAATTACAGATCATCTTGTTCTGTAATTATCAAATGCGGATGTTCCTCTGAATCACTTGGGAAGCTCTTTACAGATTTCTGTACTCTGCTTCTGGAGGTTCAGACTTCGGTTTTCAGCAAGGCTTGAGAATCTGACTGTATATGTTCCTCAGGTGACTCAGATGGCTCAGGGCCATGGACTACGTTTGGAAGTTGGAGTCCAAGGAACCTCTTTGATTTTATAGTTTGGGATACTAAGATCCAGCGTGGGACTTGCCCAAGGTCACATGGCAAGTTGGCGGGGCCCTAGCACAGGCTTTGTGGTCTGAACCCAAAGCTCATTTTCCTTTTCCAGGCCACCTATAGTCAAATTCTCAAAATGGGTCACGAAGACTGGCCAAGGGTATTACCGTGGTTTTCCTCAGCTTAGTTTCCTTCTCGTAGCCAAATTAAGACTTGGGACACTGCCCATTTCCGGGGCTTGGAAAGGTAGGAATTCAAGAGCTGAAATTCTGCAGGGAAAAGGAAACTGCTGTCTGGCAGGCCCATGGGGGTTTCCCAAAGGTGAGCTCCAGAATCCAGGGATGACTCAGACACCAGCTATCCACCAGTCCCAATGCCTCAGGGCTACCTGCATTTTCCAGGAAGGAAGGCGTTCCCTCCCCTTTCTCCTGTGGGAGGAGATGGGGTGGAGAAGGCCCAGATGTGACTTGAGGGGGCCCAACTCATGAAGAGACACACCATGTAGCACCTGGAAGAAAGGAAGCTGCCTGCCGAAACTCAGTTGAACCTCTCAAGCACTTTTCCTGAGCCTCTCTTCCAACCTCTCCTTAATCCCTCACCCTGAACCACTTAAGCCTAGGGATTCACTGCTCCTTTCCCACTTCCCACTATCCCACACATATTTCACTGTCTTCTTCCTTTCTTTCTTTTTTCTTTTTTAAAATTCTGGAATGGTATCTTGGTGTTTGGAGTCAGGTGTCCTGGGTTTGAATCCCAGCTCAGCTTCCTATGAGCTCTCTGACCTAGGTAGAGTCACGCCCCACTCTCAGAGCCTCAGTTTCCTCACCTTTAAAGTGGGGGATAATATCTATCTTCTCTGATGATGATGATGATGATGATTTTGGCCGTTGTGGGATCTTAGTTCCCCGACCAGGGATTGAACCCAGGCCCTCGGCAGTGAAAGTGCAGAGTCCTAACCATTGGACTGCCAGGGAGTTCCAGTACCTTCTCTGACTATGAGGATGAAACAAGATCACATAGATACTTAATAAACAGAAGATGTTTTCTCAGAAGCACTAGATCATGTGAGTCATTAATGCACCAGAGAGATTTGGTGAGCTGAAATGAGGTGCCTAAAAGAATAGTTGAACTGGAAATCACCTCAGAAATCTTTGAGCCTTAATGACTTCCAAGCTGGAGTCCAAGTGAACTGTTTACAATATTTCCAAACGATAAGGGAAGTCACACACTTACTCTTGATAGCGTCTCATGTTTCTTTACCTTTGTCTGGAACTGTAACAACTCAAGGTGATACCATGGTTAACACATGCTGTTCAGAAGTTCTGATTGGCAAGTTACATAGGTCTTTGATAAGCTTTTTTTAATGGGAAAATAATTAGTGGAGGGTAGATTAAATGATGGAAAATATTAATCTTGTCTAACTCCTCATTTCATAAACAGGGAAGCTGAGGTTTAAAGAAGAAAGCGGCTTGCTAATCACACAGCTAGTAGAGCAGGCTAGAAAACCTGGACTCTTCCTGGAACCAGTTACTTCCCTTCTTTCCATTCCGGAGAAGGAGAACCTATGATCAAGGAAATCGATGGGTTTCGGTCGGCTGAGGCAGGAGTGAAATGACTCATCAATTTGCTCTTGCCCTTTCTCTATTCTTGACTCATTCAGCACATATTTACTGACTGTCCACACTATTTGGACTCAGAAGAGAAGGCAGAGAGAAACAACTATGGTGGCAGGCAGCCTCGGGATCTGCTTCCAGGTATGACTTCAGAACCTGGGCTTTCCCCCACCCCCATTTTAAATATATATATATATATATATATATAAATGGATATCCACATTATAAAACACCCACTACTCTGCCTTCTAATACAGTTAGGTTGTGTCTGAGGGCAGGGGCTGTCTCATTCGAACGTGTGCAAATTTTCCTGGCACTCAGTAGGGCACGAAATCAGTGCTGTGGTATTGGAAATACCTGAACTCTAATTCTGACTGCCACTAATTCTATGTCTTTGAGACAGTATATTCCTTTCCTTCTCGGGCCCTTAGTTTTACCATCTGTAACCCGGAAACAGTGGCAAAATCATATGTGGAATTGCTGGCAAGTTCATTTCAAGTTATCCCAGGATTTAACTAGGAGAAAGAAAACGTTGGGAATCTAGGCTGAAAACAGAGTCGACGTTATCACCTCGTTAATTCCCAAACATCTTTCCCTCGCCCTTGACCCTTCCTCTATTTTCTACCCTAGCCGTCCTCCTTTTCTTCCAAGATTTCCCTCTAGAGGGCACGCTAGCTCTACCGTTCTGGTGCCCCACTTCCGTTCGCCTTCATTCTTTCTTCTGCGCATGTGCACACTTCGCTTCCGGGCTTCCCTACTCTCATTTAGGTGGCTCAGCCGAAGACTGCACCCGCTACGCCTGCGCAATGTCAAGCCCCGCCCCTCCACCGCTGTCCCCGGAAACGCTTCCTTCCTACGCAGCGGCTACAGTCGCAACAGCAGCTGGAGCTTTGCCTCTCTAGGCCGGTAGGGCCTCTCCTCCATGGTCCTGCCTGTCAGCACCGTTTCGGGGGCCAGTCGGTGAGGCTGCGCTGCGCTCGGAAGCTTCGATCCTCGAGTCCGTCACCCGGTGAGTGAACCCCACAGGAGCTCGAGTACGAGCGGGGCCCGAGCAGCTGCTGGAACGGGCAGGATTTCCCCTCCCTCTGGGAATGGGTCTGTCCGCCCCGGCCTCCCCCCCAACTCCCGGAATGGGCTCGCCCCCTCGGTCCCAGTCCCTCCTCCCGACTGGGCGACGTTGCCATGGTGACGGCCGGCGGGCTGAGGCCCGGCGTGTGTCCTCTCAGGTGCCGGGGCGGCCCGGGGCCCATGGCGCGGCGGTGGCGCTGACCCAGGCCCGGGCGGCGGCCGGGCCCCGCGGGCCGGCATGGCGGGGCAGGTCCGCCGCCCCGGG